ATCTAATGCTATTCCAACATAATAATATTATCATGTAGGTATTTAAATATACTTTTTCGTGATCCTGAAATCCTTAACATTTGACTTATCATCGTCGTTTCAGACTTAAATAGGTACCCGAAATAAGTTGCAAATCTGCAAACGTTTGAATTGGAAATGGCTAACATATTACAATTTACAATAAAATTAAAGCACTGTATACAATACACGTTATACAAAACCAGTATAATACATTAACATGTTATACTATAGTATAGTATAGTCTATATTTTTAGCCATATTATGTTCCCTTTACGATTTATACGATTATTATAAAATGTAAAAAAATCTTAATATTTTTGACCGGAAATATTGTATTGTTAACCTACGCGAACGGAATAGTAACAAGACGTTTGTTTACTTAAAAGTAAAAACTATATTATTATGTTAAAGTTTTTCTTCTTTTTTTTTTTTACTTAAACTAAATTAAAATATAAAACGCATAATACATTAACTATTCTTGGAGCGACAAATGTGTATTATTTCCATAATCTACCATTTACAGTCATTTCAATTACTGCGATACCTACCTATTACCTATTTACGCATATATTATAATTTATTTAATTTCTAATGCACGAGTGCGTTTTCTTAAAATATGATACTTTACTAACTTTTTGCATACCTACTTTATACACATATACGTACCATTATACACGGACGGAGAACATAATATCGTTTAGAATGAAAATTAATACTTTTTTCAAGAGTGGCATACATATTATTAAGTTAAATTACGCTTATTACAACAGAGCAAATCTTAGTAATTGTGCCTGTGCGTACCGAAACATGGACCTTAGGTACAAACAAATAGCTGACGATTTTAAAAAGGTATTTTCTTAATTAAACATATTATTGTTATTTGTTAATAAATGATATTTTTAAGAAATGACCTTAACTACATTATTTCGTACAAATATGTATAATATCTATGAATATATTCAATATTAATATATACATGTGATACATACGTATGATATGTGACTATTTCGTAAACGTTTTTAACCATGTTACATAAGTATATTAATGATTTAGTTATTTTAGTTTTTTAAGGACTTTCTACGAACGTCATGATGTGTAATCCAACAAAAATTCAGTCTATAGAACATAATAATATAATATTTTATTTTATTTGTTGACTTTGTACATTCGTGGATGATTAATTTTGTTCTTAGAATACCTACGTCCTACAATGAATATACACGGATACGATTGTTAATTTTGTAATATAATTAGCACGAAGAAAGTATTTCCTTTTTTTTTATTCGTAATTATTCAATTACCAAGTGGCTCTTTATATCTTTATAACTAGGTGCTTTTATTAAATACAATAATTTGTAATTTTAGGTTTACATTTAGTTCCCACAGGCCACAATATGGCAATAAAAAGTTCCTTGTTGCGAAAAAAAAATTACAGTTTATTGTTCCTTGTTTTCGTAATTTTATTACATAGTTTTCATTTGGTAGAACAGACAAGGCAGCATATGTTAACTTAAAATCAAAACTAAATATTAAATCAATATTGGTAACATTTCTTCAAACATTAAATTATTTAACGAAAGATAAATATAGATTGATTAAAAACTATTTCTGATGTACCTAATTGTATTTCAATATTATGTTAACTAATACAACAATAAAATAACTACAACAATATAATGAAACAGATTTATTAATTTTATTATTAATGTGCGCTTGTTATGCAGATTTTAAAATCTTACGTGTCACTAACTTACGGATTATAAGCTATTTAGCTTCATAATATAAACTCATTTAATCACCTCCCGAAGGTTGACTATTAATACAAATAAAATACAAACGAAGTTGTATGCAATTTGAATAACCATAACTTAATAAGGTAATGACGATCGATAATATAAATGATTTGAGGTGATTGTATAGTACTACCTATAGTTTTATTTTCTGTGATACTATTACTATATATTATGAGCTATTGGACTATATTTCACCAAATTGTCTATAAACGTGCACACGTGGTTATTCCTTGCATTGAATATAAAAAACTTTATAGTATTATAATACAATAAGTTATGCTTTAAAGTTAAAATATCATCGGTTTATAATACTATCATCGCACTTTGCAAAGTGTATTATTTTACCAATCAACTCTTTCCACCTCCAAAAATTAAATTTATTCGACAAATTGTATATAAGCTACTCGCGGAATAATTCTTATAATTCGCATAATACCAACATGTACCAACATGAACAAAGTAAACAACAAGTGTGGGAGTTCTAAGGTGGTGACGAAACATTTACAAACATGAAGTATTACAAGCATTAACAAACGGTACCCAGTATGCAGGATGTGATATAATTGTACTGAATATATAATATAATTAGGAAAAGCAATTGACGGAAAATAATAATAATAATATTTTTTTATAATTGTACAACGATGTTTGCATCTATAATAATAACAAAAAATAAACAATTACAATATTTCAAAATTATTTGGTTCGAAAAAAGAGAAACGAAAGTAATATTTATTCTAGGCGGTGGCATGATTTATACATTTCAATTATAGATTTCAAACGGTATTATGTTAATCACATAAAAGCACGTAAACGCGATCGGTAGAACAGTAGAGAGTTTATATTATACTGTGGACATTTTCATTAGTAAACTTCCTCTTAACGATGAGATTTCTATTTGCCTGGCGATAATAATAATAATAATAATAATAATTTTTCTACATCGCTCTCGACAACGATGATATTATATTGTTATTCTTTCACGGATTTAATCGCAATCGTATTTCGCTGCAGCGGCGGCCGCGTGTCTCGTCGACGATATACCTACGCCACGCTAATGTCGAAGTGGGACAAATCGAGCAATTCGTCAAGCTAATAACGAGATATTTTATGAGACTTCGATTAGTTTGTATAATATTAGTCGCTTCCGATTTTGAGAGAACTAGTCGCAAGTATAACGTCCGTGTGGTCTGAGGAATTCGTCGCGAAATAACCACCTCACATACCTCTATTTTTCCACCGATAATGTGAGTTTGTGTTCAAACACTAATTTTCACCACTTTTAGGTATACATATACGCGTCTCGAGGATCATAATATATTTTCAATTATTTCTATGAGTATACCATTTATGGCGAGCGTGTACAATAAATTGAGATTGGTCCCTCGATTCTCGAAACGTCTTTTTTTTGTGAACTTGACCCAAATAATCGCTAAATGAAGTAGCCATGTGTACTTGTCATATTACTTTTAATAATCACTAAATCAGTGAGATTCGACGATAGAGGGGGGAGGGAGGAGTTTGCCGGATTCGCATGATTCGTGTCACGAATTATCGGTTACTTATTAATTAATGTATAAATAGATATTATAATATAATATTGTTATGTTTATTATATTATTAACATGTACCCATAGAATATTATAATAATGGTTTTACTTTTAATAATAATATCTGTGTATAGGAAATATACAATTAAAAAGTCAGTCGTTTAAATAAAATTGTAGTCGTTCGGAGCACGGGACACAACTTCGTGTAACGCTCCGGGGTCCACCAGGTCTTTAATCCGGATTGACTAGATGACGGTCAAAATATCTCACGTAATAAGTATTAAATACCTCTAGTACCATATAATAATATGCCCACCTCCGACGAACAAAACCTCCAATAGTGGACAAAAGGTTAATACACAAACGCGTGCACAACCGTATTTTATTTTTATTATTTTAAATGCTATATTGCACACAATATTATTTTATCTATTAATCACTAAGGTGCGAAGTAATTATATATATATATGTGCAGTATTATGGGTATATAGGTATAGTTAATATTAATTGTTCAAATTCAGACGCCTTCCATTTGGAAAAAAAGTGGGACACTGGGACATTATAACATAATAATATTATATTATGATAACATATCATAGAGATGACGATTAAACAGTATAAAAAAATTGTATAATACCTATGAGAACTCAAGCTCTCAGAATGAGTCTGATTAGCTATTGTCGTCCATATATAATTGTAACGCTTTCCGATAGCAATCGAAAGACGTTCAACAAAGGTTGATAGAGATAGGTACCAAGGGACTTAGAGATGGAAGTATAAATGTATAATAGACCATATTTTGAATAATAAACTATATAGATGCCATGTTTTGTATTAATGTACCATTTTACCTTAAACATTTAAATAGTTTATATTATGCTTAAAACGAACACTTTAAATCGGTACGATAGTTATAGGTACTATACAGCTGTACTCTAAATTAAATATTCCAATTACACGTTTTGTCCTAGAGCTAAAAAACAACAACAAACTGAACAAGGATATAAACGTAGGTATTAAAGTAACATAATACGCGATAAATAATTATAATATTATACATATAAATTTCGTAGTTTGGTGCATAGTTTTTTAATTCGCATTATCCCCCTCCCTCCACACACTACCCCAACCCTCTCCGATTCACATTAAGTATTATTTAATGCGATTGATGAAATCGAATTAGCCTAATCAAATTATGGATGGCGTAGAAACGCGGCAAAAACAAAAATACCTAAATGACTATATATGTAAAATTAATGTTTGTCTATGTCTGTCTGTCTGTCTGTCTGTTTGTCTGTCTGTTATGCATTCCTAAAAGCCTGGACCGATTTTGATGAAATTTTTTTTGTGTGTTTGACTGATTGCCCGGTTGATTAAGATTCACAATTGGACCCGGTAGCTCCAACCCGGGGAGGTGCTTAAACAGGGATTTTGAGATTTGCGAATGGACATTTTTGTTCATAAATGGTTGCTACTTAAATAAGCATGCGTCAAATCGAATTTTCACACATTGCCTACCAAAATGCAGGCTGAGTTGCACTTACCGCAGACAGTTACACCCAAAAGGAGTAGCACAGTCACAATTTTTTAAGATTTGTCATTTTTACTATTGACTAGTAACATAATATTAAATAAATTACGTGTAAATAGCGGTCAACAGCGCGGCCACGGGTTCGGGACTGGCGTCCGCGTCCATGGCCAAGCGGGCCATCACGTACAGCATGTCGTGGTGTTTTCCGAGCGGGCACACGGACCCGTTGTCGCGGACCGCCCGTCCGTGGTAGGCCACGGCCCCGGCCACAGCTGCCTCGCAAGCTCGGCGCCTGTCCCGGCCACACCATGGTCCGCACAGCCCGTCCACCACGGTGGCCAGGTACTCGCGGTGCATCGACCGCTTGTAAGCCGGTATCAGTTCGTCGCGTTCCAGTTTGGCCACGATCTGCGCGTAAAACTCGTCCAACACTGCCTGCATAGTCACTCCTGAAACGCGGTCGTTACTTGTACGTCAGACAGACAGACCGACCGTCCGACCGACCGTCCGACCGACCAACCGACCGACTTACCCATCGATCGACCGACTGAACAACGACAGAGGACGACGACGACTTATGATTTGCCACCGCCCTCGGAAGCCATAATATCGTAGTTACATATTATTATTATACACAGGGTGACTCATCGAGAATATGATGCTCATCGCTCACCCCTATTTTATCGGCTTCGTTCACGTGCGTTTGTCAAAATTCTGAGTATCGGAATTTTTGAGAATCGTTAGATTTTCATAGGGCATTTTAGTGGTGTCCTGTGGGCGGTCACGGTGATTTCAAACGATAATCACCTTTCTTTTTTTACTGTAAATTGCATTTTTAAAATGTCGATGCATCATCTAACCTAATAGACTTGTGAATAAAACTATAATCAAAACGATATCGGGATTATAGTTTGAAAACTCAGAAACTACTCGTTCGAATTGCAATCGCATTTGAGTTTTAAAAACAAAAATCATTCTGTCCAAGTTAATACAATAATCATAGGTGTTATAAAGCGATATCATACTTGGTGTTTAATCGCCCTGTATACTATTGTACACATCCTGTATACATCATCCAAGTCGGACTAGATCGATACGACGGCGTATAGGTACATGTTTTATAAATTATAATATATACGGTGGGTTAAGCATTTGAAAATATTATATCCATTATACAGGTGTTCGATTTAAATTGTAGTAACCTCATAGTCGTACCCTTGACCGTCGACCACGGTTAGATGCCATCCAGTCGCTCGGCGCCGCGTACGGTTTCAACAGACCGGTCATCGCGACTATAGGAACCAGAAACGTTCCGAAAACTCGTCACCAAGTGTGTACGTGTTTGTGTGTGTGTTTATGTGTGTCTGACAAACACGTTTCCGGTCTCGAGACGTGGTCAACGGCGCCACCCGATACGTACTTATAAGGACGCGCCTACACGAGTATAAAACGATCGGTTTTCACGTACGGTATGTCGATCGTTCAGATTATAGGTAGTATAGGTAGTATTATTATGGTTTGTGTGTGTATACCTACCGACAACCACGGTTTAACGGCTATATAATAATGTAATGATGCCGACGGACGGTATGCAGCCAATAATCCTCGAAAATGTTCAGACACAATCAACATTAATATAATATAATATACAACCTATAATATTACTAAGAGACGAGAGCGGTGTAAAACGAAAAAACACAAAGTTATTAGTAAAAACGATACGTAACAAGTATAAACCCACCTATAAACCCATTATGATTAAAAATACATAAATTACTTTCTGAACGCCATCATTATTATTATATAGGTATGCCTACCAGTTAAATAACAATTTCATATTTTGAAGAAAAAAAAATTACCTACCCAGTGAAATTGTTATAAAGTTTTAAGATTGTTGTGTTGTTAAATGTATACCGCGTATAGACCTATACTTTTGTCTATACAAGAAATTAATCATTGAACCATATTTTAATCGAACCAGTTTCTAAAATTAAATACCTACATAGGTAGGAAAATGAGTACTAGGTAATATAAGTAATAAACTATAATAACTAAATTACCTACATATTGCTGTATAGTGTATAGTATACATTGGACGGCAACATCGTCCAGTTAAACTGCGTTTTTCTCGGCATTAGAATACGTCTTGGCGAACATAAAAATTGAGTATTTCCTTTCATAATTGTTTATGACTTTAGTGTAGGTAATTAAAGTGCGTCGGTCCACAGACTAAATTGGTTTTGTTATTTCGAAGTTGAAAAATCGAAGAGAAAGCTTTGAACGGAAATACTTAAATCTCTCATGACTCACGGATGACAACAGTGAAGACTTTGAGTGCATATTATTATATGAATGAAAGATAAAAATAATAAGTAGAAAAAAATAATAAAGGTAGTTTCACTGTAATATTATTATTTCGCTTATTTCCATATATGCCTCGGAGCTATTGTTTTGTTTTCGTATCAACCGACACTATACAACGATATTATAGGTATATACGACAATAATCAATTTTTCAGCTTCGTTAAACTATATTATAAGCATTAAATAAAGCGATAAACAATACGAAAATTCGTATACTATACAGGTAAACTTTTGCCTTATTCAGAAGGTTGGTTTTTAGAAAATTCTTTATTTATATTAAATAAATAAAGAATAGAGTACCGGCTGGTATTATAGGTATAGGTCGATGTGATCGATGTATGTGCAGTTGCGGCGCGATCAATACAAGACGTGCACGAAACGTGTCCAGCGTGGTGGTATTAAGTTCGAGTAACAAAAAGGACGTCGTCTCATGACAATAGTTTTTTTTGTTCCGTTTTAAAAATGAATAAAAAAAAAACAAACAAACAAACAAAAACTCTTAATTTTCTTCGGAGTAAAAACTTTTGAAAAACTCAGATAATAAACAATGATAATGATGTGCCTAGTGTGTACCTACTATGTAGTATTATATAGGTACATACATCCAATTACCGTGAAGATATAAACTCGTATACGTTGTATAATAATTATTGTTGTGCTTTTGTTTCCTGCAGTGTCCTGAATCAGAGCAACAATTGGGACCCGCAGTTCGAGTTCACATACAGGGGCCTGGTGCCGATGAAAGGAAAACCGGAACCAATGAAAGTTTGGATTTTGACCAGGAAACGTGCAGACGACGAAAACACCGAAGCGTTGCAACAATAATAATTCATAATAATAATAATAATAATAATTATAGTTCAATTTTCTTCTTCGAATTTCCCTATACGGTTTGTCTGTCGTAGCTTAAAATATTGCAGATGTATGTCATCGAAAGCAAACAACATTTAAAAATAGAATATTATATAATTATAAAAGTACCACATAAACTATCGTTTGTCATTATTATTTTTATTTTTTTCCGCTTCGGAAAAATCGATCGTCCTTCGTGTTTCTCTCGGCTTTTTGTTTCGGTATTTTGGCGCCGGAATGTCAGAGATTCCATATTATTATACCGCCGGCCGACTTGTCCTCAACAATTACGTGTTATTATTATTATCATCATCATCAAACACGAATACCGAACGGGTGGGCACAATATAATAATAATAATATGATAAGACGTATTATTATAAGTGATTCTATCGTTGAAAGACCGCGGCGGCTGCAGAGGCAGTGCGGGAAAAAAAAAGTAGCCCAAGATACCTGGCTGCCTACCTGTTGTTACTACCTAGGTACCTCACGTTATTCCCGTCTGCCGCGTGTTTCCGCCGGTCTGGTGGGGCGTGTACAAACTGGTTTGCGCGATCTCGTCCATCCACGTCGGACTGGTTAGTGGTTACCGTCCTATACCGACAGTCTTGTTCTTGGAAGATCGCGTCGCGCGCGTCCACTCGTCTCGATAACTTATAACTCCGTTTCGTGGTTGTTTCGTCGGAAAACGGTTTTTCGATTTTGATTTCGCAGGCATAAGCTTTTGTTTTTTGTTTGTGGCTGTTATTTTTTATTTTTTTTTTCATCCGATACCCACGCAAATCTCCTCATACACCTGTTCCAATATTGTCAAACACGCGTCTATTGGATATCTGCAGACTTCGGCAGGAATAAAAAAAGGTAAATGGTGTATTTTTTTCCCTTTCAAAACGCTAACAACAAATAGTTGTAGTTGTCAGGCAGCACATGCAGGCAAAGCAAATAACCACGGTGTGTGCTGTGATAAGTTTTGTCTTGATTTCTTTCCTTTGAAAATTCTCGAGTTAGGTTTTCTCGAAAAAAAACGTCTGCAACAACAACAACAATGAAGACAACGATACAATATACAACAACCCCCGGCATTGTGTACGAGGTTCGTCCCCTTTCATCCCTTTTGAAGTCCGTAATTAATGTTTCTCAGTAATTATACGTCATTCAACAACCCCGTCGCGCACACAAACTCAACGGATTGTGAACACCCTCGTCTTAGCTGATGTCTGTTGCCTACCTGTGTAGGTAGTTTGTATTTTCCGAAGAGGGGAAAAAAATGGAATCCAAACTAGCCGTCAAACATTTTTGTTGATACACAGATTTATAAATATTATTGACGGGTAGTTTTAAATCTTACGAGAAATTCACTACGGCCAACGATCAACATAATATTATAAGAGGTACCTACTATAATATTATGGTTTTCAAATCTAAATAATATTCTCCTAGTATAGTATAGCTATATAAAAGGATAATGACGAATATTTTGATACGTTATTATAATAAGACTAAATGTACGTATACACGCAGAGTTCTTGAAATATGTGGTCTTAACGTTAACGTAATATATTATATAGTTATACAAACTGCAGTGGTAGAGGCATATGATACGTATCCGAGAGAACGTGTGTAACCAGCTCAGGTATAATATAATAATTATAGTTAGAATCGGATTATATGTTGTTGGCGCGTTAGCACGCGATGGGAACTAACGGTGAACGGGTAGGAATCGTCCAGAATAAAAAAAAAACCATTTTTAAAACAAGCCTCGGGACATTCGGGTTGATTTTGTAGACGCACGTATAGATAGATCCTGTATATATTGAAACAATATCCATCGAGAATTATCATATACAACATATATATATATTATGTAGGTATAGGTATGCGCATGTACGGTAGAATACGATACGACTTACGAAAGAAATCGAATTCGTTTTCGAATTGGCCTCATATTATAGGTTTGATATGTATTTCGAGAGATTCGTGTTGTGACATAGGAAAACGTAATAATAATAGTAATGATATTATTATAACACGGTAACAATGGCATTTTCGTTCTCACGAGCGCTGTAATAATATGATTTTGCTCGGACTATGGTAGTAAGGTAGATAGATCTATCTATATATTATAGATTACCTGGTAAAATATAGAAACGAACGCCCTCGTCTATATACCTACGTCAGCTACCTACCGCCAATTTCCAAAAGTCGTATATAAACATTAAACACGG